TGCCTGCGTCTCTCTCTCTGTGTCTCTCTCGCTTTCACTCTCTCTCTTTCTACCGCTTTCATTCTCTCTCTCTCTCGCTTTCTCTCTCTCTCTCTCTCTCGCTTTCTCTCTCTCTCTCTCTCTCTCTCTCTCTCTCTCTCTCTCTCTCTCTCTCTCTCTCTCTCTCTCTCTCTCTCTCTCTCTCTCTCTCTCTCTCTTTCTCTTTCTCTCTCTCTCTCTCTCTCTCTCTCTCTCTCTCTCTCTCATTCCATCTACATCACGTAGCTCTCCATTCCCATTCCCGAGAATCCTCACCTTCCACTATCATCGTCATTATCTCTGCATCTCCTTCATTACATCATTACCATATTTACGCCATTATCGGCATGCCCGGGGTTTCTTTTTCCTCTTCCTCTTCTTATTATTATTATTATTCTTTTTCTTCTTCTTCTTCTCCCTCTCTTTCTTCTTCTTCTTCTTCCTCTTTTTCTTCTTCTCCTTGTTCTTCTTCTTCGTCTTCTTCTTCTTCTCCTTCCCCCTTTTCTCTTCTTTCTCTTCTTCTTTTTCTTCTTATTTCTCTTCGTCTTCGTCTTCTTCTTCTTTTTCTTCCTCCTTATTCGTTTCTCATCGTTATTATTTCGCATCGTTATTCCTTTCTTTACTGCCGTGTATTTCACTGTTGTTTTTTGCCGTTGCATCTGCTGTTGCCGGAGTTGCTGTTATTGTTGTTGCAGTTAATCTAATCAACCAAAAATTCATTTTTTTTCCATTTGCAATTGCAGTCTTATCAGGTATACGTGTATACCTGACAAAAACAGCAACAATAACAACAAAAACAGTAACAATAACAACAAAAACAGCAACAACAAAAACAGCAACAATAACAACAACAAATACAACAACAACAACAAAACAGCAACAAAACAACAACAAAAACAGCAACAACAAAACAACAATAACAACAAAACAGCACCACCAACAACAAAAACAACAACAACAAAACAACAACAACATCACCAACAACAACATAAACAACAACAACTAAAAGACGAGGCCGAAGACGTTTATGGAGAGATCCCCTTTAAGACGGGATGTCAAAATTACTCAGCCTCTCTCTCGCCCTGATCACTGATTGTGAACACAGAGGCAGGAATAATCTTGTGCACGCGTACTTGGCAGGTCTCTGGGGAAGGGAGATCAGCTAATGGGAGACGAGAGGAGGAAGGAGAGAGAGGGGGGAAGAGAGGAGAGGAGGAAGGAGAGAGAGGGGGGGGAGAGAGAGGGGAAGGAGAGAGAGGAGAGGAGGAAGGAGAGAGAGGGGAAGGAGAGAGAGGAGAGGAGGAAGGAGAGAGAGGGAGGAGGAAGGAGAGAGAGGGAAGGAGAGAGAGGAGAGGAGGAAGGAGAGAGAGGGGAAGGAGAGAGAGGAGAGGAGGAAGGAGAGAGAGGGGAAGGAGAGAGAGAGGAGGAAGGAGAGAGAGGGGAAGGAGGAAGGAGAGGAGAGGAGGAAGGAGAGAGAGGGGAGAGGAGGAAGGAGAGAGAGGGGAAGGAGAGAGAGGGAGAAGAGGAAGGAGAGAGAGGGGAAGGAGAGAGAGGAGAGGAGGAAGGAGAGAGAGGGGAAGGAGAGAGAGGAGAGGAGGAAGGAGAGAGAGGGGAAGGAGGAAGGAGAGGAGAGGAGGAAGGAGAGAGAAGGAGAAGGATGAAGGAGAGAGAGGGGAAGGAGAGAGAGGAGAAGGAGGAAGGAGAGAGAGGGGAAGGAGAGAGAGGAGAAGAGGAAGGAGAGAGAGGGGAAGGAGAGAGAGGAGAGGAGGAAAGGAGAGAGAGGGGAAGGAGAGAGAGGAGAGGAGGAAGGAGAGGAGGGGAAGGAGGAAGGAGAGAGAAGGGGAAGGAGAGAGAGGAGAGGAGGAAGGAGAGAGAGGGGAAGGAGAGGAGGAGGAGAAGGAGGGAAGGAGAGAGAGGAGAGGAGGAAGAGAGGAGGAGAGAGAGGGAAGGAGAGAGAGGAGAGGGGAAGGAGAGAGAGAGAGGAGGAAGGAGAGAGAGGAGAGAGGAAGGAGAGAGAGGGGAAGGAGAGAGAGGAGAGGAGGAAGGAGAGAGAGGGGAAGGAGAGAGAGGAGAGGGGAAGGAGAGAGAGGGGAAGGAGAGAGAGGAGAGGAGGAAGGAGAGAGAGGAGGAAGGAGGAAGGAGAGAGAGGGGAAGGAGAGAGAGGAGAGGAGGAAGGAGAGAGAGGGGAAGGAGAGAGAGGAGAGGAGGAAGGAGAGAGAGGGGAAGGAGAGAGAGGGAGAGGAGGAAGGAGAGAGAGGGGAGGAGAGGAGAGGAGAGGAGAGGAGGAAGGAGAGAGAGGAGAGGAGGAAGGAGAGAGAGGGGAAGGAGAGAGAGGAGAGGAGGAAGGAGAGAGAGGGGAAGGAGGAAGGAGAGAGAGGGGAAGGAGAGAGAGGAGAGGAGGAAGGAGAGAGAGGGGAAGGAGAAGGAGGAGAGGAGGAAGGGAGAGAGAGGGGAGAGACTAGAGAGGAGGAATAAGGAGAGAGCGGGAAGAGGACCGGAAAGGAGAGAGAGGGGAGGAGAGAGAGGAGAGGCGGAAGGAGAGAGAGGGGAAGGAGAGAGAGAGAGGAGGAATGAGATAGAGGGGAGGAAGAGACGAGTGAGAGGGAAGGAAGGAGAGAGAGGAAGGAGAGGAGAGGAAGGAAGGAGAGAGAGGGGAAGGAAGAGAGAGGCGAAGGAGGAGGAAGGAGAGAGAGGGGAAGGATAGAGAGGAAGAGGAGGAAGGAGAGAGAGGGTAAGGAGAGGAAGGAGAGAGAGGGGAAGGAGAGAGAGGAGATGAGGAAGAGAGAGAGGGGAAGGAAGAGGAAAGGAGAGAAGAAGTGAGAAGAGAGAGAGGAGAGAGGAAGAAGGAGAAGAGAGGGGAGGAGAGAGAGGAGAGGAGGAAGGAGAGAGAGGGGAAGGAGGAAGGAGAGAGAGGGGAAGGAGGAAGGAGAGAGAGGGGAAGGAGAGAGAGGAGAGGAGGAAGGAGAGAGAGGGGAAGGAGAGAGAGGAGAGGAGGAAGGAGAGAGAGGGGAAGGAGAGAGAGGAGAAGAGGAAGGAGAGAGAGGGGAAGGAGGAAGGAGAGAGAGGGGAAGGAGAGAGAGGAGAGGAGGAAGGAGAGAGAGGGGAAGGAGGAAGGAGAGAGAGGGGAAGGAGAGAGAGGAGAGGAGGAAGGAGAGAGAGGGGAAGGAGGAAGGAGAGAGAGGGGAAGGAGAGAGAGGAGAGGAGGAAGGAGAGAGAGGGGAAGGAGGAAGGAGAGAGAGGGGAAGGAGAGAGAGGAGAGGAGGAAGGAGAGAGAGGGGAAGGAGGAAGGAGAGAGAGGGGAAGGAGAGAGAGGAGAGGAGGAAGGAGAGAGAGGAGAGGAGGAAGGAGAGAGAGGGGAAGGAGAGAGAGGAGAAGAGGAAGGAGAGAGAGGGGAAGGAGAGAGAGGAGAGGAGGAAGGAGAGAGAGGAGAGGAGGAAGGAGAGAGAGGGGAAGGAGAGAGAGGAGAAGAGGAAGGAGAGAGAGGGGAAGGAGAGAGAGGAGAGGAGGAAGGAGAGAGAGGGGAAGGAGAGAGAGAGGAGAGGAGGAAGGAGAGAGAGGGGAAGGAGAGAGAGGAGAGGAGGAAGGAGAGAGAGGGAAGGAGAGAGAGGAGAAGAGGAAGGAGAGAGAGGGGAAGGAGAGAGAGGAGAGGAGGAAGGAGAGAGAGGGGAAGGAGAGAGAGGAGAGGAGGAAGGAGAGAGAGGGGAAGGAGAGAGAGGAGAAGAGGAAGGAGAGAGAGGGGAAGGAGAGAGAGGAGAGGAGGAAGGAGAGGAAGGAGAGAGAGTGGGGAAGAGAGGAGGAAGGAGAGAGAGGGGGAAGAGAGGAGGGAAGAGGAGGGGAAGGAGAGAGGGGGGAAGAGAGGAGGAAGGAGGGGAAGGGAGATCAGCTAATGGGAGACGAGGAGGAAGGAGAGAGAGGAGGTTGGAGAGAGAGGGGGGGGGGAGAGGAGGTAGGAGAGGAAAGAGAGATAAGGGGGAAGAGAGGAGGTAGGAGAGAGAGGGGAAGGAGAGAGAGGGGGGAAGAGAGGAGGAAGGAGGGGAAGGAGAGAGGGGAAGGAGAGAGAGGGGGGAAGAGAGGAGGAAGGAGGGGAAGGAAGGAGAGGGGGGAAGAGAGGAGGTAGAAGGGGAAGGAGAGAGAGGAGGAAGGAGGGGAGGAGAGAGGGAGGAAGAGAGGAGGAAGGAGGGGAAGGAGAGAGAGGGAGGGGAAGGATAGAGGGGGGGGGAAGAGTAGGAGAATAGAGTGAGAGGGGGAAAAGAAAGGGGGGATAGAAAGGAGAAGAGAAGGGGAAAGAGGGGAAGGATAGAGGAGGGGAAAGAAGGTAAGCGTAGAGAGAGGGAAGAGGGGACGGGCTGAGACGGGTAGGATAGAGAGAGCGAAAGAGGGGAAGGATAGAGAGGGAGAGAGAGGGGGGGGGGGGGCGAGGAAAGAGAGGGAGAGAGGAAGGAGAGGAAGACAGGCAGAGAGAGGAAAGGGAAGAGAGAGAGAGGGGGAGGGGAAGGAAAGAGAGGGAGAGGCAGAGGAGAAGGAAGTGAGAGAAAGAGAGAGAGGAGAAGGAAAAAGAAGGAGAAGGGAAAAAAACAGAGAGATATAATAAGGGAAAAAGAGAGAGGAAGAGGGAGAGGAAAAGAAAGTAAGAAATACAGACAGACAGACAGACAGACAGACAGACAGACAGACAGACAGACAGACAGACAGACAGAGCCAGAGAATGAAGAAAAGGTTCCGAAGTGAATCTGAACTAGAATTATTCACTTATCGTCTCTGCATCATTAATCAATCCTCTTATTCAATCTATTCGTCCATTTATATAGCGCTTTGTTTATTCACTGATTTCCACTTGTTTATTTGTTTACTTAGTGCCCGTGAAACCCACCAAACGTTCTTTATATGCACCATTAGGCACCCTATGTACTAAATGGCATTAGGGTATATATGATAAAGTACATTTTAACGTTTTGAATAAAATCAGTATTATAAGATTTTAC